TCAAACCAATTAATCGTGTATAAAAATAGTTGATTAATTTACTAGGTGACGACTAATCAATTATTTGTTGCGGCTCTACTTAAATGTTTAGACAAAAATCCATATTTAAACCTCACACACACACACAATCACTTTGTATTGTGTCATTTAAACCCTGTGTTTGTACGATTCCCTGTGTGTTCGAATAAAGAACAGCGGAAGATGCTCTGAAAGGTTTTTTTTGATGATCTGCTGTCAATTAGGAAGACGTGCACGGGGCGGACGTGTTCGGGGTTCCTGTCAAGAGTGAAGCTCATGAAAGATTTTAATTTTAAGAGGTGCAAGACTCTATAAAAGCTGACAGTTTGCTAATAAATCATCTCGGCCATCTGACCCGATCCCTGCACCTCATTAGTGTCATGAGCTGAATGAAACGGACGAAAGAAACGTGTGCAATTTCTGTTTGAATCCAAGTCCTGCATGAAAATGATGCCAACACGGTTTGAATCCTCCCCTAATACGTTTGAATGTGCAGGTCCTACTCCTTTGTTTTTTCTCTTTTTTAAATGCTGCCTTAAAAGAATTAAACTCGACCTCTACATGTTCCAGCATTAGACTGCCTCCGCGACTTTGTCCGGCATACAAATCCCACAACCTTTTCTGACCTTTCTGAATGCATGTCACAGTTAGCTAAAAGCCTGCATGTTTAACAGACCCTGCGGACTAGCATCTGTGCACCGCTTTGCATCGGCGTTGTCCATGCAGATGACGGGAATGAGAATTGCGAGAGGCAGCACCTTATGTCCCCAAAACTGAGGTTTCATTCTCTGTCGTGGATAAGGGAGACTTCATGATCACTTTGCCGCGTCTGTCAGTTGCTAAAAAAGGCCATTTCTACAGAACAAATGAAAACTCGCTTTATATTCAGCCCAGAACCTCTGTGCTGGCAAGAAACTCCAGTGCCCTCAAGCAAACAAATGTTCCATCGTCTGCTTTTCACAAACCTTTAGATCTCTGTGAATGTCAGCAATATTATCCCCCCTGCTCCACTCCCCGATCCAGTCTGAAGGCTTGGCCACTGTGCTCGAACCAAATCTCAAGATGCCGAGACGTCTGTGATGTAGCCCACCGCTAAAAAGCCAAAGCACAGAAGAAAAACACTGGGGCCGATCGATGGTCTGACTAGGCAAATATCAGGCCCGACCATGGGGCAGCGACTCAAAGTGTCTGACAGACAGAAATCATTCTGCCATGACAAGCCAGGCATGCTAAATGCTGATGAGCTTGTTGGAAAAGGTCTCGCCACTTGGGATATTCAAAGTGTCAGCCATCAACAGCAATACTCGCTGAAGGAAACACATTTGGAACTTTTTCTGATTCGGCTGCTTCTGTTAAATGTGAGCTACATAACAGCGACGAATTAAAGGACAGAAAAGCAATGTGCCTCTGCATTAATTCTCTTCTCTTCTCTGTGGAACTCTACTGGAGTGATAAAACACAATTCTCCCAAAACACGTTCCCTCATTTGGTATTTTCATGATGGTGCACTTCCTAACGCTTCGATCCAGAATCTCCCACAGGTGTTCATTTGGGCTGAGATCTGGTGAGGGCCGTATAGTATTCCCATCATCCTTTACTGGATGGAGTCACCCTGTTAGTGACCACTCCCATCAGGAAAAAGGTGATCACTCAGCACAACTTGGTAATGATTTGAGGTGACTTTTCCCTCTGAGGGGGGCAACTGGACCCAAACCATGCCAGATAGATGCCCCCCCAAAGCTTTGAGGTGGTCGAGGCTTCAGGTGTCACCCATCTGTGTATTATAGCTGAGTGTTATACACAGCTAGTCATA